CATCATCCCAGGTCGCACCATGCTCTTATGATGCCAGTTATTGTTAATAGGCTGAGAAGAAGTTTGTGTTGTGAACAGGTGAATAGATGTGTAAATTAAAAAGCCAGACACACCACAAAACCTGCAAAATGAGTCAACTGACTGTAAATACGAGATGACGCGGTCTGCTCGCCCTTTGTTATCTGAGAACCGAGCCACAGCTGAATATTGCCAACCGCAACTGTTGAATTAGTACGAGATTTAGCACAGTTTGGTTTCATCAAGCAGTTCAGCTACGTTCTATTAACACTCAACAGTTATCTCAGATAGCACTCGGTTACCGTTCTCAGCACGGTTTCAAAAGGGTAGTGTAAAGAAGTCTTAAGTATAACATGCCCATGCTGTACTTTTGCACACAATAAATATTTTAGCTTGTAAAATGTGATCTCAAGCTAAGGCAGCCTCTCACTGTATTAGTAAGTAAAAGCTATAGCATCTCCTTGAATACATGATCTCAGGTTATGCTAAGCAGAAGCTCTGTTTGCGCCAATGAAGTTTCATTCACTAAGGCATTGAAAGTAACTTGAATTTGTGGTGTGGTTACTACAACACTTGGACCTAAACTTATTTTCTGAATAAATCAGTTATCTGACCCCCTGAAGATGCTCTAAGACTAAATATACTGTAGATCACTAAACATTTACCCTAACATGCTAGGGTAACCAGAAAATGTAAAACAAAGAAAATATTTTAATACCATGATTTAAAAGCTTTGTATGCCCTTATGTAGTCTCTGTGTATTTTTGATCCATTAGCTCCAAATAAACAATCTTTGTAATAGAAGGGCACCATCAATTATAAATATATACACAGCTGCAGAACAATGCTATTAAATAACATCTGCAACCCCATTGCATTTCCTCTGCTGCAGCTGTTTGTCATAATTATATGCTTTATATAATAAAACACTTTGATTTTAGAAAAGGCTAAGCTGATTAGTTTATACAAGATTTTCTATGTTTTTTTGTTTTTTTTTATGAATAAAGGAGAAAACACTAACCACATGCTTTTGTAATAGAATTTTCTTTTAAATTTCTTTCCAAAATTGGTTATTGGTATTAGATGTGTTGATTTTTCAGATCATTTGTCCTATTTCTGTCAATAAATCCTAGAGGGTCATAAGCAGCTGACCAAATAGCAATCTCTATATGTCTTGAAGTGAAAGGGGGGGGCCCCTTCAGACGAACACTCTCATAACATTATCAAGTTTTGCATATAGTATGGATACGTACTTGGAAATGTCCTCAATTGTGCTTCATTTCATGTCTGTATGTCATTTTAAAACATTATTAGGATGTTTGAAAAAAAAGTTTGTTATAACTGTGTTTCTGCTGATCTCATTGGAAATAGGGCATTGTTAGGGCCCTGTCACACCTTGCTGATTAAGACAGCATACGCCCGACAACCCAGAATCTTCTAAAACACTGGCATACGCTGGACTTTCTATGTATTTTTTCAAGTTTGGTTGTATACGTAGCATATTCATAACGTGTCCAGAACTTATGTCCAATGACAGCCTAACTTATGCATAACGCACAGCAGCATAATGCCCATGAAATGTTGGTGAAGATTCTCAGTCATCCAGGTCATAGTCATTCCAAAAAAAAGTTAAAAACAATCCACTGGACGGTCCACTGGATTGTTTTTAACGTTTTTTTGGAATACCAATGAAATGATGCACAAGCCAGTTTCCTGAGGAGAGCAGCGTTGTGCCCGGAGGCACCTGGGCTGCATAAAAAGTCCATGTCCTTGATAGAGGTATTACACTGGCTGCTGTTTACCGCCTGCACAAAAAAATAATATATTAAAAGAAAAAGAAAGAAAGAAGGATTGCAGTATATGCAGATTTAGGGTCATGTCTGCTAAGATGTTTAGGGATCCATCACTCTAACCTTCTTGCTCACTCTATGATGGGGATGAAGTCTGGAGGAGAACTGACAGTTTCCTCCTATGAACCCCCTTTTATACCAAATATGCCATTTATACAGTAGCTGTAAGATAAAAACACGTTCAGTGGTCGTCTGGAACACATCAAATTCATTAATATGCTTTGGAGATAAGTTCTTGATATGTTATGCATAAGTTATGCACAAGTTATGCCCAAGTTTTGGATTTTCTTGATATGTTATGCATAAGTTATGCACAAGTTATGCCCAAATTTTGGATAAGCTGGACACCACGACTGATGAGTAACTTACACTTAAAATATGTAAACGATCAAATAATTCCCCACGTATGACGTTGGGATCTAGTACGTCAGGAAATTTTTATCACACTCAAAATTTCTCGACATACTTGCCATATGTCGACGTGTGCCAGCGTGCTTAAGCATACTTCAGCGTGTTCATAACTTACACAAAACATACCAATAACTTATCTAATCTATCCCAGCTTTTTTTACATATTTTTCGTACGACAAGGCATACGCTGGTCTAAATAGTGAAGGGGCTTTAAAAGGGCGACAACCCCTCCCAACAAATAACAAATAATAAATCAACAGCTGTTCGAAAAATTGCAAATGGTATTCAAAAAAATTGCTTCACTGTGACATCCATCCCCCTTCCTTGATTGTGCTCAATCTTATGTCTGTACTGTATCTCAATCACAAAAATATTTTGTATGATGTAAAAATAGTTTGTAACTACTGCTTTTCTTCTGGTTACTTGCTGGAAATTATTGTAAAATGGTGCTCAAATGCAGTGACTTTCTGAAGGTCTGGAGGGGTTTTAAGGAAAACCATGTATCTGAGCACAATTTTAAAGACATTGTGTGAAACCAGAGGCTTGAGTCTACAAATTGACCAAAAATGACGACCCTAGAGCAAAATTGGTGGCTATGAGGGCGATGTAAAAAAATAATTTTTTCTTGTCAGAAATCAATCCCTCTCCCCTCTGTAATGTGATGTAATAAACTCTAGATTTGAGTTTTTCCCTCAAACTTTGTGGTGCTTGAAGGATGATTTCTGCAAAAAAGTAGCAGTTATGAATATACCATCTTCAGTTTTGAGAAGAAGGATTCGTCTCCAAACAGAGATTTACATTAGATGCATTTGTAGAATAGGCGTATGACCCCACACGTTATCGCATGTAAATAAAAAAGAGATTTAATCAACGATAGTATGAGAGTGAGTGTAGTACATCATTAGCTGGTAGATGAGGAACTTTAATTTACATTATTTCTTCAGGTAGATTACTGAGACCTTATGAAAATTGAAACCAGGCAGGATTATATTATTTATTCTAAATAAGGAACTAGATGTTATCAACATGTATTTATTAAAAAAAAAAAAAACAGAGAAATGAGGATAAAATATAATTACAAGACGTTTTATGGAAATGACTACAATATCTGCTAATGTCAGGCAAATCAAGGCCTTTTTAACAAAGACATACAAAACTTTCAGTCTGTCTGCTTGGGTTTGATTTTTTCAGTCACTCCCCACAGCTAAATTGCAAGGTCCCCTCCCACAGGAACATTATTTCACACCTGGGTGTTTCACGCTTCGCTGAGCTTCATCCTCATGAAATCAGTGAATTCCCAGGTAATCGGGTGGAAAAATTTTACCCATGTATCAGGCTTGACATTTTTGGTTAATGGAAAAGTGGTGATGTAGCTTCTGGAGAAAACGTAAGAGCTAGAAGGAAAATGCATCTTTTGTTTCTTTAAAACAAGCATTCCCCAAAGGTTATCAGATAGATTTTAGAGGCGTTAACTAATTCTAATGGGTGAAGTAAAATGAGAGCATTTGATGTAGACCAAAACGTTCAATTTACCGTCTGAGAAGGGCACCTTCAGAGGATTTCTTGCCAATCTCCAAGAAAAGGTTAGAAAAACATCATATTACTAAATACTGCTCCCTTAACAGCAGATCTCTGCAGCCCCTTTAGAATCACCGTGTGCCTCTTGGCTGCTTCTCTGGTTAATGTTCTTCTGGTCAGATTAGCGGGATGGCAATAAGGTTTGAAGCAGTTTATTTGGATGACTGAACAGAGCTTTTATGAGATGTTGAGAGCTTCAGAGATTTGTTTAAGTTTTTAGCCTCTGGTCCTTCTATCAAGGCAATTATTACTTCCATATGGCCAGCTAAGAGAGCAGACTGCAGAATGTTAATGAATGGAATAAATGTGTGAATCATGCAGTAAAGCTAAATGTTTAAAATAGTTTCGATGTGGTTTTAAGGCGTCACATATCTATGTCTATATCTCTGTCAGTAGTTTAGAAAGCACTGATTCCTCCAATCCACATCTGATATTCCTCGCCATCACTGCAGCACTGTGCCGTATGGACGGTGGCGTTACAGATAATGTTAATGTACCAGAGCGGAGGCTGCGGCTTTACTCAGCCGTCCTCTACAAAGCTTCACCTGCACAGGAATGTAATGTCCTTTGCCTCATCTCTGCCACCTCTTTTATATCCTTCATGTCTTCCTCTTTCTTCCCTCACACACACGCATGTGCACACACAAACAGAGCTCAGGGAACCAATCACCACTGCCTGCTTGCTGGTCCTGTTTGTGAATGGGATTCTTACGGGAGAGGAGGAGGGGGCAGGCACTGATGCATTTGTAGGCATGCAGAAAGACACCAGCGACCAATTTTATGATTTTCTTTTTCTTTTAAAATATTTTTTATTAATTTCCACTTTATTGTAATTTCTCCAAGCTCTTCTTCCCTTACTATCTTCTTTGTTTTACCTCAAATGTCTATATTTTTTAATGCTGCAGTTTTTTGGGGGGAATGCTGCATTAAAACAGCTTTTATTAAAGGGCTTTCCCTTATTTCCTTCTCATGCATTCCTATTATAATCCTTATTGTTCATTTTCTCGACTTTATTCCTCTACTGCAGACATCCCATCATCTTCACACCTGTGCCCTAAAGCCAGTGCCAGCACAGGTATAGTGAACAATCATCACAAATGCACATAGAAGCACTCATATGAACTCCTAACCATAGACACCTACCTCTATTGCAAGGTCTTTGTCCGGGGTGCTTCTGAATCGTCAGTTGTTGGAAGAGGAGAGCTGAGTCTGCGAGCTTCTGGCAGCTGAAGAGGAGTGAAGGACAGGAAGAAAGAGATAGAAAGGGTGAGGAGGAGAGACAAGAGGATGCAAAGAGAGAGAGTAAGAGGGAGAATGAGAGAGAGAGGGAAAAAGTGCACTAGAACGATCCAAGAGAAAGAGGAGGAGGAGGGGTGCTCCGGCTTGCTGGAGGTGAGATGAAGGGGAGAAAAAGGGAGGTAGGAGGGGAGATGAAGAGAGGAAGAGAGAGATAGCAGAAGTGCACTTGGTTGGGATAGGAGGATTCCAGTGGATGGTGGGATGGGGAGGTGAAGTGATGACAAGAGGGAGGAAAAGATGAGAATAAAAGAGTAAGAAGCTATGAAATAATACCCACAGCAAAATACTTGAGGTTAAATAAAAAAGAAGGCAGATTAAAAGTGGAGAAGAGCGGCAAAAAGGGAAATACTGTGGAGCGTTTATCAGGAAGTGTTCAATGAAGTACAGTCAGTGGGTAATTCATGGAAAAGTAAATGTTTGGTATCGCCTGAGCACTCCTTTATTACAACTGTAACCTTTAACAGGCTGTTACAACTCATGTCGACTCATAGCATGCCGGCAGTCACTTGAGACAATCAATTCTAGAGAGCAGAAAATGTCCCTCCATCCATTAAATCACACTGTAATCCAATCTTGAGTTGCTGTGTTGCAGACCAGATTCTGCAATTAACTTTGGAGCGATACCTTAGCCAAGCTATGGCTGCTCTGAGAGAAAACGTAAAAACAGAGAAAAAAGGAAGAGTCGGATCATCCTGACATGTGAGTGACAAATGGAAACAGGAGGAGATGGCATGCTAAGGAAAGGACCAGTTTGTTCTAATGGCTAATGGTGTTGGACACTAGATGGTGAAAGAGGAGGTAGAAAAGCAGTTTAGCCTTCAGCTCAGGGATGAAGGACAGTAAACCGGGGGCCGCCAGAGGAGACGGAAAAAAGACGGAAAAATTTAGGTTTAGGTATCATGCAGTTGCATCCTAAAAGCACTGTACAGCTGTGAGTTATAGATTAGAAAAAAAAAACAGGTTTCTGTAGGAAGATGCAGGCAAACAGAAAGACTCCCAAACTACTGTAATACTAGTGATGCATGTCCCTCTGGTTGCATTTATTGCTTAGTTCTTCGCTTATTTCATTTTTTAATTTGGAAGTTGTACTTGTTTGTAACTTTCATTTATTTTGCTCATTTGTATTTTTTCTTAGGGAAAAGTAAAGATAATAGAGCTTTCAACTACTGATCTGATCTAGGAGCGAGATTTCAATCGCTGACAGCAAAATCACTCTTTTAAACCATAAACAAACAGAATAATTTGATGCATTTTCTGTTTGTATTAATTAAATTATTTTATATGATAATGAACAGATGCTGTGTCCTAAATTGTCTTCCCAAATATGTTCAATACCACCAATTTCCTTAAGGATCTGATACAGATTAAAATACAATCTGGTATTTGTGATTAGGATAGAGTTCTTTTTTGCAAATACACCTTGCAATGTGTTTGTTAAATGTACAAAATCTAGTAACTCCTTCGAAACAATAGTTTTTAAACTCACTCCTCAGGACCCACTGTTCTGCATGTTTAGGTGTTTCCCTGCCTTAATAAATAGGTCATTAACAAGCGTATGCAGCCCTAGGTAGCTTCTGGACAGGAATGCAATAATCTCCTGGAACAGAAACACATTTAGAAGAGAAAAGGCTGCTGCATAACACTGGGAGGCTCTAATTGAAAATCCCTTTGAAATATTTAACTAAATAAATGAATGCCATACTTATTGTAATAAATTCACAGCACACAGTTTTTAAATGTTAATTCAACAGTCTTAGCTAAATGGAATTTTTGTAAATAGCAAAACATATAAATATATTTATACAAAACCATCTAGTATATATATATTTTTTAAAGTTCCCTAAATACGTTATATTAAAATTATAGTAATTAGAGTATTTCACCCTGAGTGAATTAATAAATAAATTAATGCAGGTATTTGTTGGAAGCATTTATTTATCCTGCATCTTATTTTATAACTACTTAATATGGGCAACACCAACTGCAACAGGGCTTGGTGCCATTTAGAGCTCCACATATTCTGGCTCTATAACTGCAATGTACCTGCCTTCTATCTAACAGCAGCAACACCTTTGCCCTTCCTTCTCTGTCCTCTTTATCAGTTCTACATATTCTGTGTCATGGTTTACTCTACAGTGTTGACGAGGTTGTCATGTTGCAACAACTTCTTACTGTTTTTCCAATATCACAATATCACAAATTACGTTTTAATCAAAATAACTCAAAAGTCTTCTGTTATAATCTCCTACTGTTTGTTCATGGAATTACATACTGACACAGGCATTATCTAAAATAACTGTAGTATCAAAAGTAGGGGTGTAAATAATAATAATTGTTTTGTATCGATGCATCGAACCATCAGCCGATGATCCGATGCATCGTAACGTCCACAAGAGTATCGATTCATGTTTTTTTTTTCCTCCAGTCTATTTTTATCCATTTGCCCCTGGGTGTAGTTCTTCTCCTATTTTGCCCTCCTACCTCGCTTCCTGGTTATACTCCTGCAGCAGTGTGTTGCAGTAAGCTTGACACAGACACATTTTTGATTTATGCTCAGTATTTAAGCGTGGTCTGTGCTACACACTATGGGTCTAGATACAGCCGAGGAGGTGAGGAAGTGGGGGTGAGTTTAGTCCGACGACGGAGGGACATGAGGGCCAAAAAGAGCGGAGATCCAGGTGGAAAAAGGGTCCCAGCGTTCTCGCGCACCTCGCTCTTCTAGCAGGTCAAACTTCACGAGTTGTTTTCCGCAACTTCGGTCATAAAAACAAAACAAGCCAGCCTCCTGTCTGCGGCACTGTCTGCGGTCAGCTACAATGTGGGAGAGGCGCAGCGAAGTGTCTGTGGAGGGGGCGGGGACGTCTGGAGCCAAGGTATTGCATTGCACTAATTGCACTGATTTTGTGCAGCATTTTTTGATGGAAGGTCTTTCAGAATCTACAACGCAGGGGTAGTATTATTTTTCAGTGAATGAGGTTTTAATAGGAATAGGTGGAGTACAACTTTTCTACTTCTGTTATTTGCTGTTTTTTGTTTCTCAAAAAAATGCATAACGATATTACAGCTTTCATTAATTTATTACAAATTTGAAACATTGTCTAGCCTGTAAGGTGTTAAAAAAAAGAACCAATTAATCGAATCGAATCGTATCGTGGTATATTCTTGAGTATCGAAAATAATCTAATCGTTGGGTCAGGAAATCGATACTGAATCGAATCGCCATGATGGGTGTGATTTACACCCCTAATCAAAAGTATTGAAATTAGATTTTAAAATTAGATTTTAAGATTTTCACTTACATGTAGGCGTGCTCTACTGTTAGCAACGAGGCTATTTTAGATGCCGTCAATAGTCATAAAGATGACCTTCCTAAAGTCTACACCCTCATGGATTCTCTCAAGAAATCACTGAAAGGTCGCCTGGACTCCATTGAGGCTTTTTTAACAACCCTGCAAACAGAGCATGGTGAGCCCAACACCGTATAGACGACATAGACGTGGCTCTATCCTCCACATATATCCGTGTTTCGGCGCTGGGGGCAACTTGCAGCCAGCTAAGGGTCTTCCTAAAACAAAGACAAACTATTCGGATTGTTGGTGTCAAGGAAGGGGAAGAGGGTGTCCATCCTGCAGAGTTTGTTTCAAAGTTAATCTCAGAGCTGCTGGGACAGGACAACTTTACAAAGCCCGTTAAAATAGACAGAGTGCACCGCCCCCTGAGACCCAAGCCGGTTCCCAATGAACGACCTTGGATTATCATCGCCAGAGTGCACTACGATCTCGACGTGATGATTATTCTGCGACTGAGTCGACATCAAAATCTGCTGCTGTAGCACAGCCAGAAAGTCTTCATATTCCCGGACTACAGGATCGAGGTTTCAGCACAGCGCCAGGCTTTCAACACCATGAGGAAAAGGCTGGTGGAAGCTGGTGCCAAATGTTCCTCGCATTTTCCTGCCAAGCTGCAAGTGTCTTTAAATGACGATGAAAACCTTCACTTCATAGGCTTATACAGAGCGGTTTGTCAACTCATTGTCTCACATCCACTGACTTTATGAAGCGTTCTACACCAATGTTTATTTAAGCCTTGGTGCATTTTAGCATTTATATAGTTCCTCTGAAGGTAAACACCGCTCGTTGGGTTTGGGCTACTTACTTAGGGCTTCCTCTCTCTGTTATCTGGCAGCCTCCACTTTAGATTGAGGGATATGCCTCTTCGTACCTGTTGCAGCTGGGGTGAATTTTGGGGATTTTGTATTTGTTCTGTTGTTGTTAAACCTCCTTTGTTCTGTTGTGTTCATCTTGTCAGCTGATGTTTTTACATTATGATAACTGCAGGATAATAATACTTCTAAGCATGAGTCCTATTAATTTTGTCTCCTGGAACTGCAGAGGGCTTGGTAAAGCGCTTAAAAGAGCAAAGGTGTTTTCACATTTAAAATCACTTTCATCCGATATTGTCTTTCTTCAGGAGAAAGCCAAATGAGCAGAGACGGTTGAGATCTTCATGGGTGTCACAAGTTTACCAATCAAATTTTTCTTCCAAGGCTAGAGGGGTTGCAATCCTTATTCGGGAATCCATTCCATTTATCTTTAACTCCATCTCTGCAGATTCAGGGGGAAGATATGTGCTTGTCCTTGGCGATATCAATTCCCTGTAGCTTTAATAAATATTTATGCCCC